AAAAACTGTAATGTCAGCCTGTTGCCATTTGACTGGAGCCTGCCTGCTGCCAACTTGCCCATAAAACCGCAAAACCACTTGTCCAATCTTAACTGGCTGTCGATTGAGTCCAATGGTGGAGACAGATTCATAACTGCCGCTGTCTACCGATCGAAGCCCGGCCTGTTGTGTGATGCATATGACTGCCCGCATCGCAGCTGGCAGATGAACTAGCCAGTTATATCCGTACAGACGATCGGGAACAAAAAAAAAAAAAAAAAAGAAGAAGAAGAAGAAGAAGACGAAGAAGAAGAAGATGAGGTGGACACCAGTTGGATTGCTGACATGAGTCGCCTGCAACTGTCGCTATCCCGTCTCCGCCTAAGGATGTTACCATCCTACGGCCCTACTCACACTAGCAGTTTCGAGGAAATGTACCCGACTTGAGAATTATGGACACGACCCGGATGCATCTGGCTCCAATCAGGTCCAGAGCTCAGCTCAACCAAAAAATCTCCTAGTGCAAGTATGCCCTAAGAAAATTCACCCAAAGGGGAGGAGAGGTGCTTATGATCAGAAAGCTGTGGTCAGGGTAAAAAAAAAACAACAGAAAAAGAAACGAAAAAAGCTTTGTTCGGGGTAGTTTGTTTATATCCACTTGCCGCATACAATTCGTCAAAGGAAGCGCCGCGCTCCACCCATTCACAACATGCACAAAAGACAAAAAAATATCATGGTGGTGTACGCTTCCAGGCTCTAGCGGAAGATTTCATTCTCAATTTGCACATTTGGTCAAGAGTGGAGCGAGGCCCGAAAATGTCATACACACATTAATAATTTAATACATTCAAATAAATAAATAAATAAATAATTTAATACATTATACAAATATACACTCCTAGCCTCAGTCCTAGGTTCCTTTCAATTTTTTTTCCTACTTTTAGAAACTAATAATTACTAATATGTTTTTGTAATATTTAAAATTTTAAGTTATATTTTACTCTTACTTAAGAACTAGGAGATTAAGAAGTCGATGATTATAATTATAATAGAATATCATTACACAAAATATAACACAGCAGTGTTTTTCTTTTAAGTGTTTTTTTTTTTTTTTTTTTTTTTTTTTTGTCAAAATATCTTGGAGGGGCCTATTCGTGGAGGTTACATTAAATACCACAATTCATAATACGGTATTAAATTACTGTTAATACCACATTTTATGGCACCACATCACCAGCTTGTATAATACCATTTTATTCGTTCATTTGTCAAAAAAAAAAACAAAAGGGCCAACATCAGCCAATGAAATTCATCGAATTTGGATGAGAGAAGGGGACACCCCACATATATAATCTCCCCAAGATCAGTCCATCTAGCTTGGCCAACATTGCAGAGGGAATATAAAGGTCGTCGGTCGCGGGGCGACCACCTCTGTACGAAAGGCAGGGACGTGATCAGCGCGAGCTGACGACTCAAGCTTAGTAGGTGCCCCTGTGGCTCAGGGTGATCTCAGGAGTTTGCCGCTAGGGCTGGCTGCTGTGAGAAGTTCATTGAACCTGATCATTAAGAGGACGGAGAACCCGTAACAAGGTTTCAGTAGGTGAACCTTTGGAAGGATGAAAAAAAAAAAGGTGGTACGAGTTATAATTGCAGTATGGGGCAAGATACAGTATGCAATTGCACTTCGGGCACCCTACCTGGCCAGAAAGTGAGGTTGTATACATTGCCCGAACAGCAATTCAAAACCGTATCTTGGCCCATAGTCCAATTATAACTCATTTTTGTGACCCCCACATAGTTTCCCCCAAATAACAACTTAAAGAAGAACTCACAGGGAGGAGACTTTCCAGCTTACTCTCAAAAGGGGCAGGCGATATACCATTCTTCCAGCATTCGCCTTTCTCTTTTTCCTTGTCCTGGTTTTTTTTTTTTTTTTTTTTTTTTGACATCAACATCTTTGTTACAAAAGTCGCCTGGGCCAGACCTGCCCGAGGTACCCAGGGGACACCCAAACAGGGATCTTTTTTTTGGGGGGGGGCAGTGTGGCAATTATGCACCCACTGAGACGTGCCCAAATCCGGCCTTATATTCGAGTTTTCTTTTTCTGACAGTGGGGCAACTATGCGCCCACTGAGACGTGCCCAAATCCGGTTGATGGTTGGGCCGACACGATAGACACGAGTCACACGACCGCACCGCCAGATCAGGGACGGGGAAGACCAGTGCTTGACCAGTCAGTTGGAGGTGTCTGGTCGACGGACTACCCCTGCATTCGACCAGTGCTTGATGAGCAAGACGCATCCAACTCACGAGACAAAAAATTAGGCTCCCGTTAAAATGGAGTGAACAGCATAGCCTACTGGCATCGGCCTGAAAAAATTAGGCTCCCGTTAAAATGGAGTGAACAGCATAGCCTACTGGCGTCGGCCTGAAAAAATTAGGCTCCCGTTAAAATGGAGTGAACAGCATAGCCTACTGGCGTCGGCCTGACCGGTTTCGGCTTTGCTGCCAGCTGCAAAGCCATCATCAGGGGATTAATTTTGGAGATGCGCCAGGGAATAGGGGTATGATACTATGATATACATTGGTATTTTATTTTATTTTTATTTACCAAAGGCCTTATCTTTGAGTTTGGTGATATCTCACAAGGGTGTCTGTGGGGTATAAGCAGGGTTCAAAAGGGCCTAAAGGGACTTGAAAGAGGCATAAAGGGGTATGATATACATTAAAATTTTATTTTATTTTTTACCAAAGGGTGTCTATGGGGTGTAGTTGGATTCCAACGGGATTTACGGGCATCAGGTCTTGAACCGGCACCCTCTGCCACAAGAACGAAGTCTCATAACCACTACAACCCTTGGAGGTGTTATAAAAACTGGATCCATACCGGTCGTGATATCCAGCCCACCCCGAGGGCTGTAGTGTCCTTGCGGACTCAGCAACACACGCACACTCCGTTCACATAGCACACCAAGGCTACTATACCTGGTCACCACGGCGGGACTTCAACTGCCCACAGGTTCCGCAGGCGCATTTCACGGTTGGATTCCAACGGGATTTACGGCCATCAGGTCTTGAACCGGCACCCTCTGCCACAAGAACGAAGTCTCCTAACCACTACAACCCTTGGAGGTGTTATAGAAACTGGAAAAGCGCAAAATGAAAATGTGACCGCCGATCCAATTAATCAACGGCAGGCCCAGCGCTTGACGTTTCAGCCCCTTGTTTTCTTGCGGGCGACGAGTTTCGAACTGCAAGGCTGGGGCCTTGTCCTAGTGGTTTAAGGCAGAAGACGCAGGTCAGATCACGCTACCGACTTTTCTACGAAGCCCTGGGATGCAATTGTAATCAGATTCGTGCAGGCCTCTGGCCATAACTGCAGTCAGGTGCATTTGAATATGAAAACTGTATGTTTTCTTTTGTACAATCTCATAACGCTAAAATTCATTGCACGTCCTCTGAGACATCCGTTTCAACTCTAAGCAGCCAGTTCCTTTCCCAGGCCAAAAAAAATTGCCCGGCGGTTAACACGGAGGCGCTGCCCAGGCACGCGCGCCAGCCAGATGCATCCCAAATGCTCGGCACGCAGAGCTCACGGCCAACATACGGGAAAGGTACTGGCGGCTTAACCTGGCGCAATACAGAGAAGAGTAGCATAAAAGGAGAGCAAAAAAAAAAAGAAAAAAAAAAAGCACCTCGAAAAAAAAAAAAAAGCACCTCAGCGAGGAGTTCAACCTCAAGGGAAAAGGAAATTGAAAAGCTCTGCCACACGTTGGGATTCAGACACCCAGTGCCAAACCGATAAAATTTCAAAATATTTATTTATTATAAATTTATAATAATATTATAATAAATAATAATAATCAATTAAAATGGATAATAAAAATATGAATAATAAAAAAAAACTTCCTCTGAAACTTTCACATGTGCGCAAGGATCTCACACTTCATATTTACTGGTGCCACCTCGCAGCCTGTGGGCCAGATACTGCATGGATTTCTTTAATTTATATTTTTGTGTGTGTGGAGAGGGAGGGGGGGAAGGGGGGGGGAGGGAATAGGTTTGGTAACATAGGCTTCAGAAAAGCGAAATAGGCTTGTTGGTTCGGTAGCATGGCTTGGGAAAATTATTCGCTCAGAAAAAACAGGATCAGTAGCACTTTTCTGACATGCCAGCGGGGAGGAGCATGACGGCGGGAAGGAGGGTGACATCGGGGAGGAGCGTGATGGCGGCAAGGAGCCTGCACGAGTATTTATTGTAATTTATATATAACCCTTTTGTAATTTATAACCCTTTTCTGACTTGCCGGTGGAATAGGAACAGGACTGAAGCTCCCCAGAATGGAGAGGAGCCAGACCCGCAAGGCTCTGTTTTTGGTTTAAAAAAAAAAGGAAAAAGAAAAAAAAGGCTCGGTAACACTGGTGGCTTGAAACGCACAACAACCGCCAGCAAACCAGCCAACAAGCTTGCAACTGAATGATATAAAATTTAAAAAGGAATTTCCAAGAAAGAAAGGAGAAGCAGTACACACCCCCAAACATTAAAAGCATCACGCAAAAACAAAAAGGAAAAAAAAAGTAGTCTTCACAACGATAATGTTTTTTCAAGCTGCACACTTTTCAACCTTTGGACAAACGAAACTTCAAAGGACACTTAAAAAAAAAAAACAGAAACAGGTTAACTATCGAAGTTTGCAGACATGTGTCAAAAATAACCAAACTAGGAAAGTTGCAACCAATTCACAAGCACGCAAAAGAAGGAAAAACTATTGTTAAAAAACACGAGGAAAAAGCCGAAGAGGAAATGTTCAAGAATCAAGCACTGGTTCACCAAAGCTGCGGTTCAAAAAAAAAAAAAAAAAAAAAAAGAGCAGACCAGTCTAGATGGCAGTGACCACCAGCGGCGGCATGCAAACTGCTGGATGCAATGTCAATGGAAGGAAAAAAAGAGGAGCAAAAGAGAAAAAAAAAACTTCAAAAAAGAGAGAGAGAGTTTAAACCTTTGGAAAAGAAGTAATCTACCCCGTCCGCCATATACGTTCAACAAATCTCAATAAATGTTCAGAGTACCAAAATACCGGAGGCTACAGAGGTTTGAAACCGCCACTTACGGTCATCTGGCCAGGTGGTGGTTCGCTGTTAGTGGTGTAATTGCCGCGAGTCTGAAGTCGTCCAGGTACGAAAGCAAGCAACAGAGAGAAGCGTATCGCCTCTCTGCGAGTTCGACCGTTCAACACACTAAAATACCACAACTGAGAAACATTTAAAACAACCATCGAATATGTGTACCATGAAAATATCCTCGTCCATCCAAGTTGACGACGAGGCCCCGCCCGAATTAGCACAAGAACAACTACCGTAGCATAGCAGCAATACGTTGACGGAGGAGAGAGTAGGCACCGGCAAAGAATTCGATTGGAATTAGGCAGGTCGGGAATGCGTTGCAGAAAGAGCCATTTATGTCCACAAGGAGCAAGCCTATGATGGCGAAAGAACTGAACCGAAATGGAAAGGCCGGCGTAGTCGCTCCAGGTGTGTGTGTGTGTGTGTGTGTGTGTGTGTGTGTGTGTGTGTGTGTGTGTGTGTGCGTGTGTGTTTTGTCATATTCGCTGTACACTCAAGAAAAGCATGACTGTGCCGAACAGACTGCTTCGTCTGACGTGTGTGCCGCCGGCATGTGAGATAGCTCAGTGACGAAGGACCGGATGGGGCTCAGGTTCACAACGCGTCCGCGCCATTCACATCCATGGATCAAGCCTGCACCAGCAAGAACTGACAAATAGGAATGCAAAGGATGGGATGGTGCGTTCAGGCCATCGACTGATGAGATAAAACGTCTGAACGGACAAATGAGAAAGGGAGAAAAAAAGAGCAAAAAACGGGGGGGGGAAAAAGAGCAAAAAAAGGGGGGGGGGGGGGGSGAAAGAGCAAAGGCTTAACAGTTTAACCTGAATGGCAGTGAAAGCAATTGCAATCACAGACAAACCTTTCATAGATTCATTGCACCTGACCAGTCGGTCATACTCCCCAGCAAAGGTTCAACGGCTCAAGAACAAGGAAAGAAAAACAAACAAGCATTCAGCAATAAATATATATACCTATTTGCCTAGTGCCTATACTAATCACGCGCCAGCCAAATGCACCTTTTTGAGCAGGAATCTTTCACCCCCGAGTCCGAGTCGAAACTCCATCCTCACTAGCTTCTCTCCTCTCTCTCCCTCTCTCTCTCAAATGCATCATCATCCCCGTAGTCTTATTCTCACAGCTGCCATCTCATCTCAATGTCAGTCTGTGGTGCAACCAAGATAATCCACCATAAAACTCTGTCGCCGTCCACGGGGTCTTGAAGCAGAAGACCACACCAGAGGAGAAATCTTGCCATAAGAGAAATGATTGCTGCTGCTCTTTTCATCAGTTTCTCTTGAGACTCCATTGCATTACCAAGCACATTATAGTCTCTACATTCAACAGCTATTCCCTGTCAGGTGCAATGAATCTAGTCCTTTCTCTCTCGAGCTGATGAGTTTCCTGTACCACTCAATGTACAAAGACCTCAAACTTTATCCTCCCTGGTTGGAGCACCAATATTAGAATCTCTCTCTCTCTCTCTCTCTCTCTCTCTCTCTCTCTCTCTCTCTTACCACGACCTTTGTCTAACTACCTACTCCTTCCTCTCTTGCTCCCCCCCCCCAACACACACACACACACGTGTGCGCACAGACATGCACACAGCAAAGAACATCACAAATCACTTGGGTTCTCCCTCCATCCCCACAAAACAAACAAATGCACTACAGTCAAATGGTATGATTTCGCTCCCGTACCTGCCCGCGTTTCGCCGTGCTGTTCACATACTGGAAAATGGAACAAGGAAGCATCGACTGAGTGCGGTCGTCATGGGTGTCCAGTGTGCACCTCACCAACATACTACAGTGGCAATACTGGTGCCGCGAACCAAGATGAAATAGCGTAATTTTGAAACATGGTGCCACAGTGTGATTCCGGGTTACTCTCCAAGGCTCACACCTCTGAGGCCGCCGGCTCGGGAGGCGTAACTGAAGATCATAAAGGCGACATCCCCGCCGAAGCACAAGTTCCTTCCCCCTTCCTGCTTTACACTCACTTCTACTGTCATTCCGCACTCGCCCCTCGGCGACCTGCCCTCTGGGTTTCCATCCAACCAACCACCACCAATTTGAACACCCCTTCTTCTCCTCCGCCGCCGATCTAACATCTCCTCGAGCATCGAGTATCCAATTATTACCTCATGCCCATCGCGGTCAGCAGGTCTGTGTCTATCCGACCTCCTTTCAGTTCACAACTTGTGGTTCGATCCGAAGTCCCCAAGTCCATTCTTCGCAAGACTTCTTTTTCCAATCCAAAGGCCTTTCGGGTCGAGGCTTCTGTTTTGATCAGAAGTCGCTTGACTTCAACGCTTCTGTTTCGATCCGGCCATTTAACGACCGAACGCTTTCACCACCGCACCTGCGCGCGACTCCACTCACCCTCTCCTTCAACAAGAGCCCCAAAGAGGCCTGAAGGGTCTAGAGAGCGTGCAGCTCTCTGCCGCCGCTCCATCGTGGCCGACAGTCGGAATCATAATCAGCACACGAGTAGGCTTCATCACACCTCACATTGAATTGATTTCATTTCATAGTTAATCAAGCGATGGTCTTTTCCAGCCCGCGCCCCACCGCACCCCACCGCAGTCCAGCATGTGTAATTTAATTTCCTGAAGATCCCTAAGTGGCCCGCAAAATTACGGAACGCATAAAGTTTGGTCGAGCTGAACCGCATGGCATCTCGACAAAAGCTAGCAGCTAGCGGACGGACTATCAGAGAAGCTATGAAAAGCGGATGCGCAAACGGCAGGACACACATATGTTGCTCGCTTCAGAAATGGGGAAAGGTTGCATCCACCGCTGGTGAACCCTCGTAACTACGTGTACTATGTGCGCAGAGCTATAGCTGCGACAACGTAAATCTTACGAGGACAACACCCGACCACCATAAAATTGGATCCAGGTTCCCCACAGGGTGGGTCTGTCCTCGATGAATGCGAACCCAACCATGCCCATGGTCCGAAAGCCCGGGCGCAAACAGCAGCATAAACATGATTCGCTTGCTTCGAAAACAGAAAAAGAACCTGAGGGTTATGCCAGCCGGCAAACCGTCTATATGTGAGAGCTGTACCTTTGAATTCCAAACAAAGCAAGCAGTGCCAAGCACCCGACAACCATACAGTTGCATCCTCTTTCTCCACAGAGTGAGTCTACGCTCACATTCTATGAATGGTATCCCATTCATAGTGAAACTGATCGGCTTCGTAATGTCACCCATGTGGTCTTACAACCACACAACCAGACATACATGCACCTGAATGCTTGTATGTATGTATGAATGAGAGAGAAGATATCAGCATGTGTGTGTTTCTGCGAGCTTGTGTGGTGTTTCTTACGCATGTGTACGTGTGTGTGTGTGTGTGTGTGTGTGTGTGTGTGTGTGTGTGTGTGTGTGTGTGTGTGTGTGTGTGTGTGNTGTGTGTGTGTGTGTGTGTGTGTGTGTGTGTGTGTGTGTGTGTGTGTGTGTGGGCGTGTGTGTGTGTGTGAGAGAGAGAGAGAGAGCTGATACCAGAATTTCATGGCATGACCCGACCCACAGGAGCGGAGCTGACATTGCTGGCGGCGGGATCATATGCGTCGGTGACTTGACGGTCCTCGCATCTGCACATTCGGTTCATCCTCGAGAAGCCTTGATAATAGATCTTCAACTTGCTTGGCCGTTGCATCGCGATTCGACTTTGTCAGTGTCAAAACCGCTGCGCACAAAATCAAGACACAGTTCATTGCAAACAGTAAGGACAGGATTGGAAAATTTAAGAACCCAAACGACGAAAAGTAAAAACATACACGACAGTGGTGGTCACTGATTATACATCAGCCTGTGTTTTGTTTTCTCCGATCTAGCAGTTCTTCTCTACATAACACAATTCATAAATTATAAGCGTTTATATTTATGAGATACCATTTGTTTTCTCCGATCTAGCAGTTCTTCTCTACGTAACACAATTCATAAATTATAAGCGTTTATATTTATGAGATACCAAGATACATGTTGAAATGATTTTCACTTTGCAAGACCCCAAGTCTGAGTTCCAGCGTCAAAAACCCCAATCAAAAAAGAGGCAAAAGAGGCCGAAACAGGAAAAGGTCGCATCGGGTACCCCTCAGGCCAGAAAGGTCAAAATTTAACCAGTACCCCTCCGGCCAGAGAGGTCAAAATTTAACCAGTACCCCTCAGGCCAGAAAGGTCAAAATTTGACCGGTATCCCTCAGGCCAGAAAAGGTCAAAATTTAACCGGTACCCCAAAAAGGCCAGAAAGGTCAAAATTTAACCAGAACCCCTCAGGCCAGACAGGTGAAAATTCAACCGGTCCCCGGCCTCAAAAAAAGTCAAAGTCCCACAGTTCTAATGCAGCAGCGATCCAAGAAAAGGCTGGAAGGTACCGGGCCTCAAATTTCCAAACTGCAAACAGGCCACGGGTGACCGGTACAAGTCAAAGCCAGGCCCAGGCCAAGTCAAGCCAAGGCCAAGTCAAGTCAAGGCCCAGTCTAGTCAACATAGGACTGGCTCAGCGCCATTCAGACAGATTGTTCACGCGTGAGAAGGTTGAAGCGCTGTTGGCTGCTTGTGCGCTATCACGGGTAGACTGTGCGCCAGAGAGCCCCGCTAGGAAGGACTTAACACTGTAGCTCGTGCGACATCCATGAGATCCTCCGCAGCCAGGTCCACGCAGACACCAACATCCAAATTGCCCCAAACACAAGCTATAATAAACTAGTATAAAGCCTACAATGAATAGCCATTCTTTCTTTCTTTCTTTTTTTTTTTAAGACTCGCTCGCTCTAAATGAAAACACAATCCAACGGTTACTTTGATTTCAGCCATCGCGGCTATTGCTAGCAAAAATCAAACTTGAAACTAGAGTTACATTATTCAAAGATCGTGAGAAGAGATCCGCTGGTTAAACGTTTCGGTGCGAAACCACAGAGAGAAAATTCCACTTGGAATCAGTGACCAAACTGTAGAAGCTTTGGGAAAAATCAGTGAGTGGGGGAAAAGGCACTCCCAGGCAACCGTCAGATCCAATCGTTCTGGTCTGGGGGAACATGGTACACACATTTTGGTAAACAGGACACGAGTTCGAACTCTTATTGAACCTGAAAGAACAAAATAGAGTTGGCGGCTTCCCCATTCCAAAAGCAGCAGCGCTTTCCCCTTTACAAAAAAAAGCATCGGACTGACTCATTACATGACATCGGGGAAAAAAAAAAAAAAAAAAAAAAAAAAAAAGATTGGAAGTAGGAGCTCATCAGGGCCATGGGTTGATGGTGGAACGATCCGCAGCCACCCCCACTTGCTTAGGCGGCTCGTGCCACAAGGGCAAGACTGCCTCTCTTCTCTTGTCTTTTCCCCCTCCTTGCTTGTACAAACGCATGCTTCCCAGTGATAAGCAACCGGAATGACACTCCTCAGAATAGCAGGGGCTGTGTTGATTTTGAAAAAAAAAAAAAAAAAAAAAAAAAAAAAAAAAAAAAAA